GGATCTCTTTCACTCTGTTACATTATATGTATAGGGATTATTAATTTATCCAATTGAAGGCGATGACATAGGGTGTATGAATTTACAATAATTTGCCTTTGAGGAAAATAAAAAATAATAAGATAAATTAATCATATTATCAAAATACATATACAGGGTGTTTCACAAACATCGAAATAGATGCGTTTCAGGGTATTTCAAAGTCAATTAAAAAAAAAAAAAAAAAACTTGGACTGCATACATATTATATATAAACTGGTGGACAGTTGCTTTGCAACATGGAAAATTTTACCCAGATTCACATCTCGATATTTGCGGAACGGAAAGAGATATCGAGTTGCGGTATTCGGGAGGTTCTTGACCAACTCTTTGAGAACACACACAAGGTTTGACCGGTATATTTTTTTCATTTATCCACGTATACAGGGTGAGTAAAGGAAGTCATATTTTTTTAGCAATGTTTGGGGCTATGCCAGATTCTCAATTTTTGATCTTGGAAATTTTTATATACATCTTTTTGATCTTTGGACTATCCCAAAAAAAGTAATTTCTCAAATGTTTCGAAAGTTGGCTATAACGCAAATTATCGAATTTTTAAAAAAGGGTTACATTTATCCCTAAAAAAGTGACTTTTTCAGGGTTTCGCTTGAGAATGGGTATTTTTTCTCATACTTTTGCATGAAGTGCAATTTCTTGGACCCGAGAAAAGATTGAAGCACTCATTGAACGTATCGCCTACAGTGGCGTGCAGAAAAAAATAGCTTTCGACATTATGTAATTAAAACCGAATTTATCAATTAAATTATACTATGCAATTAAACAGCTTAATGAACAAATCTAAGTTACTAACTACTCTTAATACAGGAGTGTATTCCAGTGGCGTAACACCAAGAGCATCTCTTGTTTGGTGGGCAGAACTTAAAAATTGTTATTTTTCCAAATGTTATGATGCTGGTCTACACTGCTGTTCATCTTTCATCTGGAATTTTTTAACCTTGTTGTTTAGCAGTGGCGTACCCGCTTGGATAAAAGGGTGCTGCTTTGAATAACATCCCGCAATAATGTCTTTCGGCTCGACCTCGATTTTTTTCCTGTCATGGGTAACTTAAAAAAAAAAAAAAAAACGTGCAATTGACTGGTCTTCTGAGAAGTAATGGAGACCGACTTACACACAATAGTCAGTATGGTAAGAGATAGCGTTATTGCTGCGCGATACACTTTCAGATACCCTTTAAAGGTACACATCCACTAATAGGATCGGGCCGGGGCGCATCTTAACATTCCGGTATAAGATTTGGCACCTAGGCATATTCCATTGGTCCGTTTGAATTCGGTCCGCCAATTACTGCGGAGCGCCGAAATCCGTTCTTGAATATTGACCGGTGCTGAGCCTCAGGTCGGATTGGTTCAGTGGTAACAGCCATGTGGAGTACCGAATCTAAGATCTAAATGTTAAACAGTGCTGAGCATCAAGTCAGAATGTTGCCATGCGTTTGGCGCGGTTTTTGAAAGCTATTTTATATTAAATTAGCTGTCCACCCCCCACCCCCTCCGTGTTCCTCTCAGCTACAATTTTGCGGCGGATGCGGCCTATTTGGCACGTTGCTTCATGTGTTCTTGTGCTTAAACATGTAGGATGAGTTTGCCTGTATCATTTAAACACTTTCAATGTGGTGAACGAATTTACCGTGCTAACATTTTAGAGGAAAATGATATAAAGCGATGGATAGAAGAGTATAGTGATATAACATATACGAATTGGAATGTGAAGTCAGCAAAGAATAATTATATCAGATTCAAATGCAGGTTTGTGTTCGATGTCAATTCAATGACGTAGAATCTTCTAATCTAATAATTTAATTTATAAATTTGGTTTTGATTACATAATGTCGAAAGCAATTTTTTTGTGCACGCCACTGTAGGCCATACGTTCAATGAGTGCTTCAATCTTTTCTCGGGTCCAAGAAATTCCACTTCATGCAAAAGTATGAGAAAAAATACCCATTCTCAAGTGAAACCCCGAAAAAGTCACTTTTTTAGGGATAAATGTAACCCTTTTTGAAAAATTCGATAATTTGCGTTATAGCCAACTTTCGAAAAATTTGAGAAATTACTTTTTTTGGGATAGTCCAAAGATCAAAAAGATGCATATAAAAATTTCCAAGATCAAAAATTGAGAATCTGGCATAGACCCAAACTTTGCTAAAAAAACATGACTTCCTTTACTCACCCTGTATAAGTGGATAAATGAAAGAAATATACTGGTCAAGCCTTGTGCGTGTTCTCAAAGATTTGGTCAAGAAACTCCCGAATACCGCAACTCGATATCTCTTTCCGTTCCGCAAATATCGAGATTTGAATTTGGGTAAAATTTTCCATGTTGCAAAGCAACTGTCCACCAGTTTAGATATAATGTGCATGTGCGACGTCAGAACGTATTATAAGTTATGATGTCATGACCACATTTCATAGTGTTGCATCTCAGTCAATTTTTGACTAACAAGAAAAAGAAAAAACCCGTGTCGACTTATTTTTCATTGACTAACGAAACAGCAATAAAAAAAATAATGCAAGGGGCCTATACTGGCCTATTAACACTCGTTAGGGAAAATGCTATATAGTGAGTTTTGTTCAAGTTTACCGTGAGTTTATGATAATCCAGCCTGTTTTTGACGATATACAAACCATTAGCCACCCTATTTCTAACAGAGTCCCAGTCTCCAGCCGAGAACTCGAGAACACCAAGACAGTATCGTCCACATAAGAAATGATGGAGCCACCAACAACAAGCATTAACATAGAATTGATATATGCAATAAATAATAAGGGGCCGGGCACAGTTCTTTGAGGAACACCAATCACTGAGAGCATCTCTTTTTCTTAGAATTTGTTTTCTGTCTGTGAAATATGACACAAACAGTCGCATGAATAAAGTGTAGCAAATGCTTTTACACTACCTCCATCCCTTTTTGCTGCATTAAAGCTGAATATGCTTTTCTCAAAAAACTTGAGCAAAAGCAGTTGCTTCTATTTTATTCATATGAGCAATTGACTTGCAACACTCCGCCTCTGACGCCACACTTCTAGAGCCTGTTTATTAATATGTCATGAGGTACAGTGTCGAAAGCCTTAGCTATTTCCAGGAACACAGCAATGCTTCTCTCTCCAACATTGAGCTTAGCAGAAGTTGCTTCACCAACTTGTACATAGCATCATTAGTGCTAACTCCACCCACAAAGCCAAACTGTCTCCTGGATAAAATTTCATTCTTTACAAAAAAATTCATCAATCTCTCCTTGAGGCATTTTTCAAATATCTTGCCAAAGTTATTGATGACACTTATTGGTCGATAGTTACTTATATTATTCTTATTTCCAGCCTTGTGGATGGGTGTCACAATAGCGGTTTTAAATTTTTCAGTAACGACACTGGTTGAAAATATTAGGTTAACAATATAAGATAGAGGGTCTAAAATATGCAAATGCACAGCTTTAATGACTCTTGTCGGTATACCATCCACACCAGGAGCTGCAGTATTTTTAAGTGAGCTGATATGTCTTATCAATTCATTATTATTTACAGGAGTCAAAAAAAGAGAGGAACGTGGTTCATTAACATTACAATATGGCTCCCTCGCTGGCAGCACTTTCTCAGCCATACTTTTTCCTATTGATACAAAATAATGGTTACAAAAATTGGCCATGTCCATGTCGGTCTCAAAAGCTTGGTTTTCATGGTCAAATGTATTAATTTTATTGTTGGTTTTTTCTTTTTCATTTGTGGCACTGCAAATAATTTTATAAATTTGTTTGATATTATTTTGACTTTCATTTATTTGATTTCTGCAATAGTCAAATTTACACTTAGTAATTAATTAGCCTATTTAATTGATTTCCATAGTATTGATATTGAGTTATAAGGTCTTCATCTTGTGAGTGTAAAACTTTCTTCTTTAGTTTATCTCTTTGTTTTATAGAATTTCTGATGCCAAACATGATCCAAGGTTTAATTTTTCTTGATTTATAAATATTGATTTTAATTGGCTTTCCTTTTTGAAAGATATCTTGGAAAATTGCATAAAATACATCAGTTTTGCTTCTTCAGCAGTTATACAGCTGAATACAGGCAGCCAATATTGTGGTGCAAGAGAGTTTATAAGGGCATCGTAGTCAATTGTAACAGTCCGTTTCTGTGTGTTCATGCTTTCCTGTCTCAGTTCTGCACATCCAGAGTTACATAATCTTACATTGAGCATAACTGGATAATCGTCAGTCAGGTCTGAGTCTAGTATAAAAGATTAGATAATTATTAATTTTTTTACGTATACAAAGATATGGTTAATACAAGAAGCAGTTTTTGATGTGACTGTAGTAAGTCAATAAAAGAGAGGAAGCCAAGATTGCTGAGGGCCCATAGGTAGACATTGACAATTTCACTATTACAATCTGATATATTGATATTAATAATATCATCCATAAAGACCTCAATTTGATTTGCAAGATTACCATTAAATAAATTTTCTAAATCTGTAATGAAAGGTGGTATCTTTGTACAGGGAGGTCTATACTGGCAATTTATACTAATACTCACATTTTCCACTGTGAACTTGATCCTAATGAGGATGACATGGGAAACAGGAAGCAAGATATCCACCATTTCGACATTCAAATGATCTTTTACGTAAATCAACAATCCATAATTTTTATTTATACCTACATTATTGTAGTGGATGGAGTAACCGGGTAAACTGAATTGATCAACTTCACAGCAGTGGAGTTGGAAGGTTTCACTCAGTACAATGATATCACAGTAAGTCAGATCAAAGGCCTCCAGTGACACCAGAAGAGTGACAATTTTTTTTTCACACTTCTGATATTAAGGTGCAATAAATTCAGAATTTTATCGTGAATATTTATTTTAGCTTTAAGAAAATCAGCTGATATACTTTCACACGCCATGTCCGCATTATGTTCCATATTTTTTATTGTTATTATTTTTAGTTAATCAGACAAAATCTTACTGAAAGCAATTTACCAACTTGTCAGTGTGCCGTATGTTTATACGGGTTTTCTGAGGGCGACAGTTTTACAAAAACCCAATGCTTTCACTACTTCCACAATTATTGTCTTGCCAAGCACGTAACTGTTAATGAAAAAAATTTCCTGGAAGAACAAGATAAATTGCCAGCTTGGAAACGGAGTACTGTTGGGTTTCAGGTTGGAATTTCCCATATACCTATTGAAAATGTTTTTCTTATCGGTATTTAATTCTGTAGGCTACATGCCCTGTATGTAGGGAACCGATTTCCTGTGATGGAACCAAGCTCAAAACGTCGTTGCCCCCAAAAGAACTTCAAGATGCTCAAAAATTCGAAGTCACTCAAGAATTGAAGATGCTGCAACAGAAAATGCAACAATTATTCAACTATCAAAAGAGCAAAGGTGGGATTATCGATATCGAAGCTGAAGAAAATAAACTCCTTTTGATTACCAATTCTGAGGATAATAATTCAGAGGTGAGAATTAACAATCATATATTATGTATATTTGATACAAGTTTTTATTTTTTAGGATCCTGGTCCAAGTCTTTCGTCCAGTAATCCTCCAGTAGAGCAACAGCCATTACACAACGGACTTCAAAACCGTAATCATAACCAAAGACATTATTCCAAATACTCTAATAGATGACTATGGCATTTTAAAATCACTGAAATTGTATGCAAGAATACTCGTAGATGTTTTAGGATTTTGGTATTCCATTATTTAGCAGCTAGTGCGATCAATTTGCCCTTTTAGATGTTTTTTTTTTGTTTTTTTTTCTTATGATGATTATTATTCCACCTATAATAAAATGTAATGGATGTTTGTACTAGGAAGATATCTAGGTTCCTAGGTATCGAAATCATAGATTGAAACAAATAAGTATATTAAAAATAAAAAAGATGCAATATTTAAGTATGTGTATATTTTTTATTTGGATATTTCTGTACAGTTAAACATTATTTAAATCAGGCTGATGAGGTTTTATTGGCAAGTAAAGTTATTGATTTCCTACTGGGATTTTTGAATTGTGTAGGTACAGGGTTTTCCCGTATATTCCAAGTTTTCTTTCGATCTGAAGAAACTTATTTTAATCACATAGGGTTTTTTAAGGAGGTGTCAAAAAAATAGTTTGGGCCAATGAAATCAATTGTTAACCCGGATGACAATTATTTGAAACAAACCTCAAGTGATTTCGATCAGTTTGTTCAGATCGAAAGAATACCTGGATATTTGCACCCTACCTGTAGCCTTTACCTTTACAGGTAGATGATTGGTGTAAATACAAAAGTTGTCCAGTTTTAGCTAAATTTTCAGAATTCATCATCAAACAGAAATGAATTTCCAGAAATTTGAAATTTTGCGTACTTTCAACTTTTTTCATATGAAATGCCCTATATTTGGTCCTATATTTTTGAAGAGCACAATTTTGTGATTTCAAAAATATATAGTTTGTCTATATTTGGTTGAGCCGTCTCCAATATTCCGGGTGTCCCACTAAGGTCGGCCAGGTACAATATTATGGAGACCATAGACCTCACGTGACTTGAAAACGAATGCAGATATTTTTTTTTTTTTTTTTTATTTGTCAAACACATTGTGTTTATTACATTACAATCTAGTCAGTAAGACTAATTAGCAATTTTGTTTTAACCTAATTTACTACAAAAGTTTACAATTCTTGAGGTTCACTCAACAGTTTTCCCCACTTTGCTTAAACTGTAAATCACAATTTTGATGTGTTTATAGCACTGTTTTGTTGTGTTTTTCAATTTCAGTTCACTAGCTCGAACGGCTTCACCCTTCTCAGTCTTCTAACTAGCTCAGTATTGTCTAGGAGCTCAATCACTTCCACATTCACATGCCGATGTAGTCTATCTTCATGGCTTTTTGCGTACTTTCTTATAGTCTCTGTTACAGTATCAATTCCTAGTTCCCGATGTAGATCACTATTTCGAACGTACCAAGGTGCATTAACAATGTTTCTTAGTACTTTATTTTGGAATCTTTGAATAACTTGTATGTTACTATCTTTAGTGCAACCCCAAAGTTGAATTCCATATGCCCATACTGGTTTCAGTATTTGCCTATAAAGTAGTAACTTGTTTTGTATGGTTAAATTGGACGTCCTTCCAATTAACCAGTACATTTTTCTATACTTAAATTCAAGCTCTTGCCTTTTTTTCTTAACATGTGCTTTCCAGCGCAATTTCGCGTCAAGCGTCATACCAAGATATTTAGCTTGATTTGAATATGGTATAGGGGTGTCATTAATTGTGATTTGTATGTGATTTACGTTTTTGTTTGTAAAATCAACGTGAATTGATTTGGTTTCATTCAATTTTATTCGCCATTTTTTGGTCCAATTTTGAACTTCACTGACAGCGTTCTGCAGTTTTTCTGTTGATTGTTCAATACTTTTTTCCACTGTAATTAAACCAGTATCGTCGGCGAATGTTGCTAAATGACAATTTTCTGGTTTTGGGATGTCGCATGTAAATAATAAATATAAGTAGGGACCTAGCACGCTACCCTGAGGTACACCTGCTTTTATTTTTCGTAAATTTGACTCAAAATCTTCCTGTTTGACTCTGAAATGTCTATCACACATATATGATTCCAAAATATCAGAATATTGTTTTGGCAGAAACAGCTTTAGTTTATAGTTTAAGCCTTCATGCCAAACTTTGTCAAATGCTTGCGCTACATCGAGGAAAACTGCGGAACAGACTTTTCCCTCTTCCAGCGATTTTTCTATTAAATTCGTTATTCTGTGTACTTGGTCGATCGTAGAGTGCTTGTCGCGGAATCCAAATTGATGAGTTGGAATGATTTCCTGTCTTTCTATGATCGGCTTTATTCTTTTTAGCAGTATCTTTTCATAAAGCTTAGATAAAAAGGGCAATAATCATATTGGCCTATTAGATGACACAACATGAGGTGGTTTTCCGGGTTTTGGTATCATATGATAACTTCTGCAACTTTCCAAAGTTTAGGTACGTATTTAAGCCTAAAGGACGCATTGAAAAGGTTGCATAATTTCACAATAGCTTTCCTGGGGAGTTGTTTTATTACTTCCCCAGTAATTAGGTCATATCCTGGTGCTTTTTTCGGACTGATATTTTGTTTGATCTCTGTTAATATTCCTCTTGGTGAAGTAGGCTCAATGTGGCCTTCTTCTTGATAAGGTTCATTCCAGGGAAGATTTTCATCCTGTGCTTCGTTAGGCTGGAATGTCTTTTCTAAATGACTTGCAAAAAGTTCTACTTTTTCTTCGTTACTCCTTGCCCATTGCTGATTTGACTTTCTTATGGGTGGAATTTGGGTAACTGGTCTTTTAAGGCCTTTAGTTGCTTTCCAAAGAGAATAATCAGTGCTTTTGTCGCCGGTGAGTTCACTTAGGTAATTGTTGATAGAGTCATTTTTGATTTCTTGAATTTCTGGCCTTATGCGCTGCGTCATATTGTTGATAATTGTTTTGTCATGGGGATCTCGACTTTGCTGCCATTTTCTTTTTAGTTTCCTTTTTTCTATAATAAGATCTCTAATTTATTTTGGGTAATTTTTTCCCTTAAAAATTCTTTTTAATTTGGGACTGTTTTCCCAAGCTGCTTGTTGAATATTGACGATAAAACAATCGACTTCTTCATCAATTTGTTGTGGCGTTCGCAACGGTACTGATAAGTTTATCTTCTCCGACAGACTTTGTTTAAAACTAGCCCAGTCCGTCAGTTTATTAACTAATGAGATAGGTGCTTTTTTCTTAATTATATATTCACTCAGAGTTAGGATAATAGGTGAGTGATCTGAGTGTAAATTATAACTTTCTTCTATCTCCAGAAAATTTGGAGATATATTTTTTATTACGAAAAAATCGATTAGATCGGGAATTTTTCCAGGATCGGTTGGATAATATGTTGGCCTACCTGTGGATAGGGGCTGGCATTGATATTCATTAATAGCTTGCAGAAGTTCCTTCCCCTTGGAATTGGTTAGTCTGGAACCCCAGTAGGTATTTTTTGCATTAAAGTCACCCCCAAGTATGAATCGATTTCCCAACTTTCTAAGAAAATTGAGATATTGATTTTTCTTCAATAAATGCCTTGGTGGTATATAGGCAGCAGATATGGTTAGTGTATATGTTTTGGTTTTTACACTTACTGCTGTAGCTTGAATTTCAATTATTGTTTTGTATTCCGTCTCTTCAATGTGAGATATGTTTTCTTTAATTATGACAGCGCTTCCTCCATGTGCTGTATTGCTAGGATGAATTGTGTGATACACTTTATATCCTTTAAATTTAATATAGGATTGATTTGTGAAATGCGTTTCTGATATGAGGCAAATGTCAATCTTTTGTATATCTAGTATAACTTGCAACTCTTGCTGATGCTGCAAGAGCCCATTGGCATTCCAAGCTAAAATTCTAAGGTTACTGACCATTTTGACGATTGATGATAGCGCCATTATTGCTATTTTCCAGTTTAGTTAATCGCTCATCAAGTTTGTTTAATTTTTTCAAAATCAATTGCAATGTTTGTTCCATAGTGCTTTGGTTAATAGAGTTGCCACTAACAGTGGCAGGAGCTGATGCTACTGCTTGGCTGTAAGTCCTTGTCGCAGAGTTTTGCGTAGCTGCGTTTCTTGGTTGTTGGCTGTGACCATCTGTGCTTGCTTGTGGTGTGGGAGTTGGCCTTTTCGGGTTATTCCTTAATTTTTGTATTTCTTTAGCTAAATGCACCCCCTATAGTTAACTGGGTGTTTGTCGCCGCAGTGGACGCATTTTGGCTCAGAATCTTTTGGTTTCGAACAGTCTACAGTAATTTGTATCGTGATTTGTGATTTTATTTAATTTTTTCCATTTAGGTATATTAAAAATTGTGGAAATTGATTTTTTAGTCTAGAGTGGGCAACTTTTTCTTTCAGAGTGGGCATTGCCCACTCTGCCCCCCCCTAGCTACGGCCCTGCCCAGGGCGGCCATTTTATATGGGCGGCCAACGGCCAAACACATCACCTATTTATCGTTCACACAATATTCAAAAACCATATCCCACAAAAATATTATGCTCTAACTAAAATTTCGGATTTTCTCTTTCGTTACATTGTTCTCACCTATCCTCCACAAACAGGTTATACTGTTATAGAAGTTATACCATCAAAACACCAATGTAACCGGTGTCCGCTAGAATAGCTATTCATATAAAAAGTGTGTAAATTGAAGCTTTTTTCACACAATCACATGATTGAGAAACGGGGCTTTACACACGTACAAAATTTTCTCTATTACTGACAATATTAAACCATAAATTTTTAAAAAATATATCACAACTCTACGCCCTAGTGTCTAAAAGTAACTCTCTCCACAACCTACGATGTAAAGTAAATATCACATTTTTAATGCAAACAAAGGGCAGCAAAGAGTTTTATAATATCAAAGTTTATACCTACTTGTGGGTATTTCTGCTTTTTTTTTTAGCCTTCAAGGTCATACACATTCAGAGATACGGCAACTCCGCATTCTCAGTTTGGGCTCTCGGGAACAGGGTAGAAGGCGTAGTCCGATTGAGTTCATTTTTGGTATACATATAAAGGCCGTAAAAGGTAACAGTTTAGTAAAGGTCCTTCAAAAAATATCATGCTTCTTCATTATAGATAGTTCAGTTTGATCCCAGAATATTGTTTTATGATCGAAAATGTTGGCGCAAATAACCATAAATTGGATTTTATAAATATTAAATGAATCCTCTTCTCGACCTTTGACACAGATCAATATACACGGTGTTCCTAAATATCATGTACAAACGAAAGGGGGTGATTCTTTGAATTATTTTATGACTAAAATTTCTTATAAACATAGGTCCGCAAACGCCTCGTTACCGATTTTTATTTATCTATTATCTAGCTTG